CCGAGCCTCGTTGGAGCTTCTGACCTCGTCTCGTGCTTCTCCAGGGGGCAGGAAGCCGAAACGGGATCGGAATCCCGTTTCGGCTTCTGCCCGTTTCGGCCTCATCCACTCGTTTCGGCTTCGGTCCGCTCCGTGCCCGCCCGTTTCGTCCCGGTCCGTTTCGTCTTGGGACCCTTTCATCCCGGCCCGCTTCGGCTCTGGTCCGTTTCGTTCTGGCCCGTTTCGGCTCTGGCCCGTTTCGTCCCGGCCCGTTTCGGCTCTGGCCCGTTTCGTCCTCGGCCCGTTTCAACTTTCAAGGCCGCGCTCACACCTGGGCCGTGAAGCCGAAGCGGGCCGAAGCCGAACTGGACTGAAGCCGAAGCGGGCGGAGCCGACACGGGCCGAAGCCGAAACGCGCCAAAACCGCAACTCGCGGAGCCGAAACGGGACGATCCGAAACGCGCCGAAGCCGAAACGGGCCTGAAACCGACTCAGGCCCTTTTCCAAGACGCCCAAGATGACATTGAAGCGCCCCAAGAGGGCCCCAAGTCGGTTCAGAGAGGCCCCCAAGACGGCTTCCGACGGCGTCAAACTGGCCAGGAACGCACTGAAACTGTCACAGAGTTCCCCTAAAAGCTCCCAGGAGGCCCCAAGAATGCCCCAAGAGGCTCCCAAGAGGCCTCCTCCTTTTCTCCTCCTCCTCCTCCTCCTCCTCCTCCTCCTCCTCCCTCTCCTGAAGCTCCTCCTCGTCCTCCCCCAAGTGTTCCCGCAGAGTCTCCGTAGCGGCTGGGGGCATCCACAGTCCGACAGCTCGGCCAAGCTCCCGCCACACGCCTGCACACGGAGGCGCCTCTCGGGGAAGGCGAGGGGCGGCGGTGATCTGCCGCAGGCGTGCTCGACCACGGGCCGGCAAGGGCCTTTCTGGCCTCGGCGAGCCGCGGCCAGGCACAGGTTCCCCGACCTACGCCTACACGTCGCTCGGTTCTAATCGTGCTCACCTCTGGTTGTGCTCGTTTCTGCTTGCTCCTGGCCCCCCAGTGGCCAGGAAGAGGCCCAGGACAGAAAACAACCAAGAAATGAAAGGATCTTGGCCCCCCGAAACATCCGAGAACCGTCGAACACCTAGAACTGAACAGTGTGCACGCCCACGGCACGGCCCGACAGCCGGGGCCCCTCCCGAGCCCGAGGCGGCCCCTGCCTCGGCGTCTCGGCTGCCGCAGGCCACCGCGGGGAGGCGCGGGGAGGCCGGGGCGGCGCGAGACGGCCAGCACTCCGCCGGTCACCGACCCCGGCCGGGCGCCGCGGCGCGCGGCCGGCGCGGGCGCGATGGGCTCTCCGCCGACTGGCCGGCGGCCCCCCGGCGGGTGGTGCTCGGGGTGGCGAGCGCCTGCCACGGCAGAGCCCGCCCCACCGCCAACGCCACCGCGTGTGCGAGCGGCGCGGGGGGGAGGCTCACGACCGCGCGGGGCAGCACAGGGGCGGGCGGGACTTGATCGCCGGCGCTTGAGGTGGGCGTGGTGGTTGGGGCCGGGCTGCCAGCCAGAGGAGCCCGAGTCTCCCCCTCGCTCGCGCCCTACCACCGGCTTGATCCGAATCGGCCTCGGAGGGGGGCAGGCAGGAGGAAAGATATACGGAGACGACGAGCAGGCGAGCGGTCATACTGACGACGATGTGAATATACATATCTAGACAGCAACGAGCCAGGAGTTTTCAACATCGCAACATTCCAGCACTTCTATTGTGTGTAGACTATTGATCAGCAATCGTCGATGTACGTGGAACAGCGATCTCCGATAGAGGGCACTGCAACCGCCATAAAGTAAACAAGTTCACGCTGCTTCGCCACGACCTCTCGGCCAACTGCAAAGAGGGCGCGCAAGCAATGGCGAGGAAAATGATGAGGATGTGCTCCAGTGCGAAGGCTCTATACATCACAACCATACGAGCACAAGGTCTGCAACATCTCGTCCGCCTGCACGGAAACAGTCGCACGCCATCCCTGTGGGATTGCAGCGAAAAGAACATCTCTCAGCAAGCGCGGCTGTGGAGAGATGGGGAGGAGGACAAGGAGGGGGAAGACGATGAGGACAAATATGACAGGGAGCAATTGCCGCAAAGAACTACTGCAGGCTCTGCCGCCGCTGCCGCTTCTCCTCCCGCCTGCTCCCGAATCCCCCAACGGGTTGGGGGCAAATTGGCTCTGGGGGTGGCTCGTCTTGCTTCCGCCGCCTTCCGCTGGCATTCCGCCGAGGAAGCGATGCCTGCTCCTTCGGCTCCTCGAGGGCGAGGCCCGCTCTGAAGCGCCCCCCACGCGTGGAGGGAGGAGACCCCTAGAGAGGAGGCGGGGAGGCGAGCGACGGGGAGCATGCTGAAGGAGGCAAGGGGGAGGGGGAGAGATAGACTATGTCTGGGCCAAGAACGGGGGGACGTGAAGGTGGTGTTATGGGGCGGAGGTGGGGTTAGAGGAGCTTCGCTCAAAACGGCCCGTGTGAGAAGGAAGTGTGACCAGCTGGGCATCTGTTCACTAACTCCGCCTTGGGATAACCCCCCTCTTACGAATCCCCGACAATAATCCATGATGCCGGTGGGCTCCCAGGACGGCGGGAGCTGGCAAGAATCGGCGGAGTGCGACCTTCGCGATACACCATCTGAATAAAAGGCGGGCGAATGCGGGAATCGTGCGAAAGACAGCCCCGGGGCCTTGCCATAGCAAACTCTTGCTGGCGATCTTCGAACGAACTCGTAGTGTCCATAGTGACTCCCGTGTTGCATGATGAACACTCCCCTCCCTCCTCCTTGCCATCTGGCCCTCCCTCCTCCAAGCCTCCGCTACGCCGTCGCACCTAGAACGGTTTCGAGCCGCTCGCGCGTGGGATGAGCCGCGCGGCCAACGGGCGTCCGTTAAAAGCTTCTATCTGCACGTGCTGCACAGCATGACACAGTGCGTCTTGACACGCTGTCGCGTGTTCTGCTCATGTAGCACATGTGGCGTCTACTCAACGTGTGTGGTAGCGTTGGCCCGCAGCAGCTGGCATCGTCGCGACAACTAGCAGTGTCGAGAGCCGATGCACTGGCACAGCGAGCGCCCCCTCCCCCCCTCGTCATGTTTTCTTCTCTCCCGAGCCTCCGTTGCGCTGTGTGAGCTGGAGAACTGCCGAAATGGCTGGAGCCTCTCGCGCATGACATGAACGGCGCGGCCCCGTGTGATCTACGAGACATCTAAGCCAACGATGGACGTGACAAGAGGCAATGAATCCTGCACCGTCCCTGCGTGGGCTGATATCTTGCCGCCCCCCTCAGGACAGCAACCGCTGTGCCTACGACGCAACGAATGAATACCTGTCAATCTTGACTCCGAAAAGAAGCCTGTGTAACACGTATACTGTAATGGATGATGCTAGCGCGTGGACCCGAAACAATTCTTGCGTGCAGTGGACTCAAAACTGCATGTGTGTGCGAACCTGCATCTGAGGAGTCCTATGTATGTGGACTCTGATGTGTTTGTGTGCAACCAAGGACAATGGGGTCCGAACTATAAGGGTCCAAACAACCACGGTGCAACACACGGGGCCAGCGGCGCCGGGGAGAGGGGACCAAACCATGGGGGTCCGAGCAGTCACCAGAGAGTGCGGCCAGCATGGCCAATGGGGCGGGTCATAGGGAATTCCACAGGAAACGGAGGCCAGAACATGAGACTCTGAGCAGCCGCCAGAAAGCGCAGCAGCCTGGGCCAGCTGCTTCGAGCACCAGCGAGAAGCCCTCAGTGCAAGCACTGCTCGGGGAATAGTGTGCGAATGGTCGAACCATCTACTATGCTCAGTCGATTCACGTCGCGGTTGCTCTTCTCTACTCTGCCCTGATCTACCTCACCACGTCGACATTGCCTACCATGTCCTATCTTTTTCTACGCTTCTCCGCACCAGTCCACTCTACGGTGGGGACATCGGATGAGGAGCCCTAATATAAGGAATCCAGGGTCTGGAAGCTGGTGGAGCACCGATTGAGGCTTGCCACGGATATCACCGTCGCCCTCATCAGGTACGGAATCCTCCAGGGTCTGGAACCTCCTGGTATATCAAACGCCTTCACTGTACTCTACTCTACCCTATTCCAACCCAGACTGTTCTCAGATATTCCACTGTGCTCTGCTCTCATCTCCCATCCTCTCATGTTGCCAATTCTACTCCTCTAAAGCTGATCTTATGCTGTTCACTCTTTCCTTCAAGCCAGCCAGACTGGGCCCCACCTGGGGCCAAGGCATTCGCCTTTGCAAGTGATACCGTGCGGCCCACACAGTTAAGATCATGCAAGGCCACCATGGGGGACCAGACGCAGGACACAGGACTGAATCTCTATCGTGCAGGTAATGCCTCCATAGGCTGCCCCGTACCTCGCACGGGAATTCGGGGAATTGCTCTTACCAGCGCTCACGACGCAAGGCCAGCCCGCAACGAATGGCAAGCAGACATCGCCGACGCTACGTCTAGCAAGACAGCTCCGAACTGTGCACGCAGCTCCGATTATTCCTGTGTGGCATGGGAAATCAGCACGGGGGCGCTCCTGAAAAGTGCCCGCCGGTGCTGGTCGTAGCTGCTACCAGTGCGTGCATCGTCAGAGGTGGTGTAGCGTACGTGGCAGACGCAGGGTGGCCACTCGTAGCAGTGTTCTCCTTGTGGACCTCACTGAAGAGGCCCTGGGACACACACAAATAAGTACACACAAATAATAGGATTCCCCCTACTTTCTTATATTTTCTGGGGTATTGTCACCCCCACCACTTCCCATATTTTCCAATATTTTCGGGGGAATCGACGATTCATTGTGTCTGGATTCTTCTCCCTCCTGACTCACTTTCGTCTGGCTCCTGCATCTCGGGAGGTAGAGGGTTGAGCTGAGGATGACAGCTAAGCCAGAAGGATGAGCAAGAAAGAAACTACGCGGCGGGGGGATCGACATGACAGCCAAATCCGTGCCGCCAGACTGGGAGGACGGGGAGGCAGAGGGAGACGAGGAGAGCACCATCACTGGCCCTGGCGGAGCCCCAGGCTCAGCTTCGGCAGGACCAACAGCACATCGGCGTTGACCTTGGGGCTGGGCTTCTCGTCCAGGTGGCCGATGGACTCCTTTAGCTCGCGCTGCAGGTCCATCAAGGACCTCACTGCAGCCGACTGCTTGCGGCCCGTTTTGGTTCCACGAGGAGGGGCCGGAACCGCGAGGGCCTGTGGCTGCCCCTTGCTGCGGGGCAGCTCGGGGAGGCTCAGCGCCCCGGTCAGGCCCGCCATCTTCTCCGCCGTCCTGCGGCGGAGCTCCTTCATCCGGATGTCCAGGTAGGCCCTGTCCTCCTGTGGGCGGCGAGCGAGGGGGTGGGGAGTGAGAAGGAGAAGGCCTTCTCAGAAGGCGGCGGGACTTCTCAGAAGCCCTCGCGCCGTCCGAGAAGACTCTTGTGCCCTCGACTGGGGGCTTCCGAGCCTTCTGAGGAGGGTCGCCCCTTGTCACTTCCCCCCTCCTCCTCCTCCTCCTCCTCCTCCTCCTCCTCCTCCTCCTCCTCCTCCTTTCCTCCTCCTCCTCCTCCTCCTCCTCCTCCTCCTCCTCCTCCTCCTCCTCCTCCTCCCCCTTCTCCTCCCCCTCCTCCTCCTCCTCCTCCTCCTCCTCCTCCTCCTCCTCCTCCTCCTCCTCCTCCTCCTCCTCCTCCTCCTCCACCTCCTCCTCCCCCTCCTCCTCCTCCTCCCCCTCCTCCTCCTCCTCCTCCTCCTCCTCCTCCTCCTCCTCCTCCTCCTCCCTCCTCCTCCTCCTCCTCCTCCTCCCTCCTCCTCATCCTCCTCCTCCTCCTCCTCCTCCTCCTCCTCCTCCTCCTCCCCCCTCCTCCTCCTCCCTCCTCCTCCTCCTCCCCTCCCCTCCTCCTCTCCTCCTCCTCTCTCTCTCCTCCTCCTCCTCCTCCTCCCCCTCCTCTCCTCCTCCTCCTCTCCTCCATCCTCCTCCTCCTCCTCCTCCTCCTCCTCCTCCATCCTCCTCCTCCCCTTCTCCTCTCCTCCGCCTCCTCCTCCTCCTCCTCCTCCTTCTCCCCCTCCCCCTCCTCCTCCTCCTCCTCCTCCTCCTCCTCCTCTTCTTTCTTCCCGAAGCCGTGGAGCCCCCCTCTGAGGGCACAACTGTCCACGCGGGAAGTCCCTACGCAAGAGGAACGACAACAGCTGGAACTTTCCCAGCCACACCTGGGAGGTAGCCCTGGCACATCCTTCGGACGGCCCGCCTACCCCACTCCCCAGGCTTGCAACACGGGGCGAGGAATCCCTTGAGTTGCTTCGAACTGTGAGCACCACAGAGCGTACACGCAACCACGGGATGGGCCGCATCCTGAAGGGACTCCTCCACCCTAAAAACAACTAAACGATGTGCCTTCAAACCCTGCTCTTGCAAGCGCTCATTGGCATCACGCGCACGCGTCGAGATCGACCCAGGGCAGACCTCGGACACGGGGGCCACAGCGCGGCAGCGAGCACACCAGGGTCGCCTGGAAGGCCCTCTTAAATCATGAGGCAGCTGATCAGGGACGACAACAAGGAGAGGGGGCGCGCTCACACGCGTGCGGCGCGCAACGTGCGTAGTGTCACGCCCGTCCACATGCGCGCCCACCTCCCCAATCCTGTGCCCAACCTGCTCCACAAACTGCTCAGCCTGCTGCATGCGCTTCCTATCCTCAGCAGGCGCGCGCGCAAGCTGGCCTCCAAACTTCGCCCATACGTCGGCGTGGAAGTTGCCGAAACGGTCCCGACGCGTGATGCGGCCTGCATCCACGTCAGACATCGTGCAGTGACTCTTGACTTTACGCATCGAAAGGCCGGCCTCGCAAAGGCCGCCAAACTCAGCCAGGGCCTTCCAGAAGACCCGCCAGAGACAAGCCCAGGCCGAGGAATGGGCCGTGGTGGCCTCTTCCCCTCTCTCAGTCACTCCACGAAACACAAAATCTGAATCAGTGACAGCAGTGATCGGAGGCAACGAATTCTGAAACAAAAAGATCAAGGCCTCCAATTCGGCCCCGTCGATGTCGAACACAGACTGCGAACAAGTGCAGTAAACAATGTCAACTACACCGAGGGGGGCCTCATCACGCAGAGTAACGACGGCCCGGCCTGTACAACTCAAACTACTCCACTGGCCTTCAAAGGCCGAACCGTCCAGGTAGGCTTCCTTGGTAATAAGGACCCCAGGCCCCGCATGCTGATGCCAGACCACCGTGTCCTGGGCAGGGGCCCTCCACGAGGTCCGCGGGATGGGCCAGCGCGCCCTCTCCAGGAGCACGCGGACCTGGGACCGATCCTGAGCCTGAACCAGCGGAGTAAACGCATCAGGGCACGGCAGCTCCTGACACAAATCACATTCGAAATGTCTGTGGACAAGAGTGCCAGGTTTGCGACAAATGAGGCACTCATTGCTCAAGGCTTTCCTAGCTTCAAACTTCCTGACCATGGGCCACTGCCCACCAACAATGCACGAACGAAGGTACGCACGCGCCTCGGGCCCCAGGGTCGGAAGGTCCCGATTTTGAACACAGCGAGGCCGTCCGCTAGAGACAGCCTGGACCAGGGGCAACCAAACCGCACCAAACTCCAGATGTTTCAAATCATCGTGCTTCGCCACCTGTCGCCACTGCCAGGCCGTGGCGGCCTGCGCTAAATAGTGGCGGATCACTCGAGGACAGAGCACACTGATGTCAAGGTCTAAGCCCTCATGCGTGGTCCACTCGAAGGCGGAGCGAATCGACCAGCCGACACGAGCCAGCGACAGCCGACACGCACTAAACGGACCAGACACTTGGGTCCAGAGCGAGACCGACGAACTTCCTTCCAGCCCATCCCGCACCACATGCCTCGGCACCCACCCCTCCCATATAGCTTGGCAGAGCGTGAGCACAGGCATCAGAGTAGCTCGAAGGATCGGGTCAGCATCCTTCTCACACATCAAGGCTAAAGTGCGGGACTTCCCAGCGGTAGCCCCAGTGAGACACGCAAGCGCAGTGCTACGCATAGTCTCAAGGTTCGAAGTCGAGCATCCCGTGACATTCATCCCATACGACATACTCGCCTCCAAACCCGAACGAGCAACCTTTCGAACTCCAAAGCGTTTCTTCTGCCCAGTGCGAATGAGGCCAATCCGCCTCAGGCGCTGACGAGCACCCAGAAGCCGAGATTTGCGTACTGCATGCCCGACGCGCCGCCCACAAGAGAAGTCAATGCCAAGGTTTCGCTCATGCAGTGTAGCTTTCGTGCCCATTTTCGCCTGCAGGCGTCGTGCAACCTCATCGCGCACACACTGCTCATTGCACAACACACGTGACTTGTCAACATGTACACGTAAGTCCACTGCAGCGAGAGCCTCCTGCAAGTCTAACGACGCCTGGACCAACTCACGCGTAACTCTAGATTGCGTGCCAATCCTGTGCAATAGCAAATCGTCAACGACAATGGTGGGGACGACGGTTCGATGCATTCTGTGCATGGAGCCAAGCGGCCGAATCAAAATCAACTTGAGCATGCAAGTGGCCCAGCCGTCACCTGGTAGAATGGTCTGCTCAACCATCATCGGCGACGAGACGACTTGGCCCAAGCAACAAAAACGCTAAGCACGATATAACTCAACATTCAACTTGAGCTGCCAGAGAGGGAATCCAGTAGCCACTGCAGCCTCCAAAACCCAATGATGTTCCACTTGCTCAAAGGCTTTCATCCGATCCAAGAGAACCATACCAGAGATCCAAATGCCCTTAGTGGAACCTTTAGCCTTAGTGGACACATACTCAGGCCAGGCCGTCTGCTGCCAGACGGCTCGATCGCACGATCTTCCCTTGGAGGCCCAGAAATACGATCGATCATTGCGGGGCTCCCACTCTCGAGCTATCGGGCGGCGGAGGCGTGCCTGAACCCGAGCCAACACGTTAATTAGCGCTATGGGGCGCACGCCGCCCAGGCGCTTGGACAAGAAGGCGATCTTCGAGGCAAACTTCGGCCACTCGGCCGGCGCCTCGACGGCCATCAGGATGTCGATAAACACTTCCAGAGCAGGATCGCACAGCATAGACAACTGATGCGGCCGAATCACGCAGAAACTCATGCCAGTGTGCTTGGGGAAGGTTTTCAAAACTTTTCGAATATGTTCGACACATGGACGCTCTGGGCGAACGCCAAGATCCTCAGGCCAAATGAGGCCCTTGTGCCACTCTCCGACCCTCCACCACCGGCTCCACTCCTCCTGTATCTTGTCCACCTGCTGCTGCCGATCACGAGGGCGGAAAAGCGACTCGGTGCTGGTGTCGTGAAAGCCCTCTGGGAGCTTCGTGATTCTGTGGAGCCCTCCAGCCCCTCCGGCAGCTTGCTCATCAACCCAGGCTCGAAACTTAGCTTGCCGTTGGTTTTCATCACTTTTGGCCAGCTTGAGGGCCACCTTCTTGGTAATGTTCGCCAGGGCCCCGAGGATCTCGCAATCCCAGAACTCGGCTCCGAAGATCTGGACAAATCCCCATTATTCGCCTGCAGGTCCTGCACCTGTCTGCACACTAGCAGGCGCCGTCGCCTGCTTACGAGCAAGAGCACGCAGAGCGGTGACGCGAGTGAGCGGCTGAGCAGTGCAAGACGCAAAGTGCAAGCTAGCCGAGACCGCGCGCAGCCACAGAGCTCCAGGAGACGCCTTCGGGAACCTGGGGACCTTCGGCGCCAGCACGGAGACCCACTTGGGACAGAGTGGCTGATCACGACCCTGGTATTTATGCGCATCTTCTCCTACAACATCATATACATCACACAGCTCGAACTCTGCCTGGCGAAGAAAGCAGTTCCAAGCATGCGACAGCTCAGGGCGGGTCGAAGAGCCCGTAGGGGAGCCGTTCTGATTGCAATCCACCGACTGAGCTTCAACCTTCTGACCGACGTCCGTCCAAGCACTATCATGCTCACCGCGCTGACAACCGATGGGGCGATCGACGGGAAAAGCACGAGGCACAGGAACAATACACACACGCGGCCGCACTGCATCACTCGAGATCTGCAACCGAACAGGCACGTGCGAGTGCGTACTTATCTGGATGTCCACCAAAGCCTCGACCTTGTCAACCACCAGCTGATTCGACACGACGAAGAAATCAATCGTTCGACCACTGGAGAAGGTAGCCACGGTAGGATAAAACATGTCAGCCTCCAAGTACTTCAATATACCCGACTCGTGCACTTCATCCGGTGTGCAGTTGAAATCACCTCCAATGATGTACGGCATATTCACTCCACGAAGGCGCTCAGCCAACTTCATAAGCATCTGAAAATTTGGAGCACCCATGCCTTCCCCACTGATGAGGTACACGTTCACAACGAGGACCCCATGCTTGGCGAAGCCAGAGTGACACATCATAGATACTCTACCAGGGACCAGGACCTCCGTGGACATGGTCTCTAACTTCGCAATGCCGTGCATCCTAGGACACATGGTAATGAGGCCTCCGTGCCCATGATTACCCTCGACCACATCATCAGCGGGAGAAGAGCGAGCACACCAGTCAAGTTTGCCCAACTCAGCTTCGGACTCCGTACATCGGTGGCCATAGAGGTGAGTTTCCTGGACAAGGATAGCATCTGCAGCCTTAAACTCATCATGGACCAAGAGTGGCTGCAGAGACGAATATGCATTCCCGTTGGCGGATACGACTGACCAGCTGCTAAACGCCGCACTTGGGTTTCTTAATGACTGTGGCCTTGAGCTCGGCCAGAGAAGCAAGGCGTTCAAGATCACCCCCACATGCTTCCGCCATCTCTTCCCAAATGCGCTGGCTGATGGCACGCTTGGCGCCTGCATCAACGTGTGCCCACGGCCGCGACCCAGCATCATCGGCCCAGGCGTCGTCCAAGTCATCATCTTCGTCCCCTTCCATATCAGAATCGTCCACTGCCTGAACTCCCGAAGCAGAACCAGGAAGAACCCCAAGCACTTCGGCACCAGGGAGACCAGGGAGACCAGGCCCCGCTGCTGCTGCTGCACCTGCTCCTGCTCCTCCTCCTCCTGCGGCGGGGGCGGCGGCGGGGGAGGCTGCAGGTGCAGCCGCTGCTGGCGCAGGGGGACGCAGCGCCGCCAGCAGCGCCTTGAGCGGCCCCTCGATGGCCCCCAGCGCCCCGTGCGGCACCTCTCCCAGCGCCGCGTCGAGCTGCTGCGCGAGCGCCGCAGCTCCCTGGGGAGGTGCAGCGGCCGCGGGCGTCGGCGCTCCCTGCCCGACCCTTCCAGCCGCCGCAAAACGAGCCTCCTCCACAGCAGCTTTAACCTCCTCCTCCAGGCGCTTGATTTTGAGGCGATGCTTGTGGAGGGCCTCAAAAACATCCTTGGCTGCCTTTTCTTTCTTTGCCAAACCCCCCTGAGCATCGCACAAGAGCTGAGCCTTTCGATCCACCTCGGACTGGGCAGACTTGAGCTCCTTGACCGTAGCCAGGTTGGTGATTCCCAACTTGGCACGCCAACGCAGCCCGACGAGTTTGTCCTTCGACGACTGATCGAGCGCCTGACTGGCTGCCAAGAACTGAGGCTCGGACATCTCGAGCCACGGGGCCTGCTGCTCGGGGGTGAGAGCTTGCTTCTTACCTTTAGCCTTTCCTCCTCCACCTCCTCCCTGACTGCCAGCTCCTCGAGGTCCCCCCTGAGGAGGTGGTCCAGAAGCCCAAAACCCACGAGGCTGAGGAGCATGCCAAGGAGGAGCGCCATTAGACAGGAGCGGATTGGGACCCGTACAACCTGCCCGCCTGCACTTTGCTCTGAAACCGAAGTTGTAGTAGCCGCACGAGCCGCACTGCCAGCCATTGGGCTTGGCCGCCATGCGCCCCGCACGCGCACGAAACACCAGTGGGGTCGCGAACCCCAGGCCAGTGAGCCTCAAGGGCCCCGAAACCAACACGCCACAATCGCTCGAGCGAGGTTGAAGTTCAGGAGAAGGCCCCTTGAGCCAAAATGGCTACGGACTTCCTCCTCCTCCTCCTCCTCCTCCATCCTCCTCCTCCTCCTCCTCCTCCTCCCCTCCTCCTCCTCCTCCTCCTCCCCCTCCTCCCTCCTCCTCCTCCACCTCCTCCTCCTCCTCCTCCCCCTCCTCCTCCTCCTCCCCCTCCCCCTCCTCCTCCTCCTCCTCCTCTTCCTCCTCCTCCTCCTCCTCCTCCTCCTCCTCCTCCTCCCTCCCCTCCACCTCCTCCTCCTCCTCCTTTCCTCCCTCCTCCTCCTCCTCCTCCACCTCCTCCTCCTCTCCTCCTCCTCCTCCTCCTCCTCCTCCTCCTCCTCCTCCTCCTCCTCCCCTCCTCCTCCTCCTCCTCCCCCCCCCTCCTCCGCCTCCCCCCGCCGCCGATCCTGGAGCCAGCGCCTCTCCAGGCTGAGCCGCTGCTCCCGGTCGTCGTACTCCACGAAGGGGTTGTCGCTGGCCCGCTCGGCGCTGCCGCCCCTCGCGGAGGCGCGCCCGCTGCGGCAGGAGGCCCTGGGGCCCCCGGCGCTCACGTCCGAGAGCCGCTTCAACTCCCGCGCGCCCGCGGGCTGCAGCCTGCTCATGGCTCGCGGGCCCTCGTCGGGGTGCGCCAACCATGCACCCGTACGGCAGGTTCGCGTCGTGTCGACCCCGGCGTTGGTTCCTGACACCGCGGGGATCGCTCAAACTTGAACGATCGGCCGTTCCATGAACGCTGGATCGTTCAACGACGGGCAGCTTCAGGGCCACGGGCGGCGTTCAACCTTGAACGCACGCGATGGGGTCGCCGCCAGTCGGCACGACGCGAACCCGCCTCACGTAGGGGAACAGACGGTGGCATGAACATAAAAACTCGGAGTTCCGCGCGGATTCCTCGGATCGGCGCTGGACCCCCCTCCCTGGCGCGCAGAGCGCGCCAGGGGCTGCAACCATGCACCCGTACGTAGGGGAACAGACGGTGACATGAACATAAAAACTCGGAGGTCCGCGCGGATTTCTCGGATCGGCGCTGGACCCCCCTCCCTGGCGCGCGGAGCGCGACAGGGGCTGCGCCGGAGGCGCCGCCGAGGGGCCCCAGCGCCGATCCGAGAAATCCGCGCGGACCTCCGAATTTGTATGTTTGTGCCACTTTTTGTTCCCCTACGTATCGATCCTCAGGGATCGACCCACAATGCGTGCTCGTCGCTTTCGCTTCGTGGTCTCGTCTTCCCTCGTTTCTGGCTTCGCTCCGCCTGTCTCTGCGGCGGCAGGACGAGGTCGCAACGGGAACGGCCCACGAAGTTGCCAAGACACTGTTTGGGTCGACCCCTGCCGATCCTGGCCAGGCCCACCCTGGGCTGGCCTGGCCAAGATCGGTGCCAGGTGCACGCGTGGCGCCCTCCGACCTCGGCAAGAGCCCGCCCCTCCCCCTGGGCCGGTCGGCGGGCTCGATCCCGAGCGCGCGCGTGCGCGTGGGGGGGATATCGGGCTCGCCCCCTTTAGCAGCAATGGCAATGGAAGTCTCTCTCTCTCTCTCTCTCTGCGTCCCATCTGTACGCGTAACCTCTTTGATGCCGATTTGTACCTTCTGCGCGAGGCCCCCAGGAAATCTCCCCCCCCGCCCCCAGCCGCTTTCTCAAAACGCAATTAGGCATGCGGACACTGCGAGAGGATGAATTGCCGCCCACTGAAATGGTTTCGACGCAATTGAACTCGTCTCCTCAGTGCCGGCCAAGACTTATATCTTGCGTATGATCGCGTCGATTACATCATCAAACTTGCTGTCCGGCTCATTTGTACCCCCTAATTACCCTTCTTTGAACAGGCTCGCACGCTCCGCACAACAGTTTCCGATGTGTCGTCCCCACGGCAAACGATTGTGGACACGCACTCTGCTGAAGGATCTGCTGACACATACACAGTCTACGCCAATGACATCCCCATTCACTGCCCGCGGGTCCTGACACCGGCAGCCGACCTCTGCAAACGATCCAGACGAGCAACGTTCTCAGAGTGCCACACGCGGCCTGACGAAGCCCAGCGACAGCGATCCGACGCGCGAGAGCCCCAGCTGGAACACAACGGGACAGTGCTGGCCGATCACTCGAAGACCCTGCTGGTTCACCGCCACGCCTCGGCCGCCCAGCCTCGACGTGGCCGATGGGTGCTACCAGCTTCTGGCGGGGTGTCTGCCCTCTCCTCCTCCTCCTCCTCCTCCTCCTCCTCCTCCTCCTCCTCCTCCTCCAGCACGCCGCGTGGGCGGCCAGCAGCAAGGCCAGCCTGCAGTCGTCCTGCTCGGCAGGGCCTCGACGCCGTCGCTGCGTGCTGCAGCAGGCAGCGGGGTCGAGCCGCTCAGGCTGGCACTGCCGACAATGGCCTTCTCGGAGCTCACCTTTGATGCCCGGGGCAGCCAGGGACGGCCCACCTATTCCAACACTTCCGTGAAGTGACTGTCGCGTGTTGATTCTAGGGGAACGAACAATGACATTCCCTGGCGCGCGGAGCGCGCCAGGGGCGGCGCCGGAGGCGCCGGCCGCCAGGGGGGCCCAGCGTGGATCCAAGAAATCCGCGGCGGAACGCCACAAAATTATGTTTACGCCGTTTTTTCTTCTTCGAGTCCTTGAAGTGGCCGTCACGTACGTGTTGATTTATACAGCAGGGTGTCGCTGTCCGTGTCGATGGCGCTCACCTCCAGAGCCAGAGCGGGCTCTGCTTCAAAGCTAATGCATGTTTCCTGGCACGGGCCCCACACCAAAGGGTTCGCGCACTGTGCAAGCTGTGTGGTACATCTGCGGGGATCAACTTATGCGGCGCAGGAGGAGGAGGAGGAGGAGGAGGAGGAGGAGGAGGAGGAGGAGGAGGAGGAGGAGGAGGAGGAGGAGCAAGGCCGAGACCTCTCAAGCCATTTTGGCGAGGTCAGGCCTCAGGCGTCGCGACCCCCCCCGCCAGCGCGAGGGCGTGCGGACGCGCGCGAGACGCCACGCTCCAGAGAAAGGAGCCTGCCTGCCACCGCCATCTCAGAGCGCGGAGAGGGCAGGCACGGCTTCCCTTGAGAGTTGTAGCAGCGCAGCAGCGGTTGACGCAACATCATAGTTTTGATTTCTCAGTGCTGTGGAAGTGCAGACAGTGTAATGCTCAGGATAAGAATAATGTTTGGGACTGTGCATGTGGGACCCGATGGAAGCCTCGCCCACAACACCATCGTGTGAGAGCTAACAGTCAGCCCCCCCCGACGCAAAGATCGAGGAACAAAGATCGGCGACACGATTCGTTCAGTTCCCATTGCCACGCCTGACGAAGCTTGCGTACATCCAGTATGGCAAAGGCAACCTGAGGGCCCCGAGGAGCTTGCACAGTTCAGGCGTGAGACACAGGCCAAGATTCAGAAGTTAGGCAACCTCTATTTTGCGAGCATAGAGGCCAATCGTGTTGACCCAGGGATGGCAGGGGAGCTTGGTGTATTGAAGTTCATGATGTCGGCAAGCCACGGATTGGAAGAACAAGTCAACGAGCTCAAGACGAAACTCATCAATGCCCGAGACAAGCTTAGACATGTTCAACAGAAGATCGACGACCTATGCGACGAGGAGTGCAAACTGAAGAAAACAATCAGCAAGCTCAACATGTCCATTGAACAGCTTCAGCAATCAGGTGAAGATGAGTGGGACATGGGAATGGACCCTCCTCATAATGAACCCCCTGCTCAACGTCCGTTCGCTGACCGCGAACCCCCTGCTCGCTTCCAGGTCTCAGATGGCTTGAACCCGATGGCCCAGGGTCCTCTAAGGCATCCCACTGGATGCCCCCCCCCCCTCCCCAGGCCTTGGGCAGTGTGCCCGTCGGCACACCTCAGGGAAACCTCCCTTGGAGCGGAGCGGACGGCCCGGGCCGGCGTGCCAGAGCGCAGACCCCGCCTGGCGGGCTCCAGGACGCCGAACCCCTGCGCTGTGCCAGAGCGGACAACCGCGCCTCGCCAGCCGAAAACCCTGGGGCTGGTCGGGGGGCGGGGTGTGGCAGGGCCAAGCTCGGGGCAGAGGGGGGCTCCTCCCCTGCCTCCTCCTGCACAGGGCAGCCAGGGAAAAGCGCGCCTGCGGCGCTGCCCTTCTCATCCCTTCTCGGTCCCCCCCATTGGATGCACGGGACCCCTCTGGGCCGCGCGCCGGTGGATTCCTGGTCAGCCAGCCTCAGCCCCACGCGGTGCCAGGCGGCAAGATCCGCCCTGGGAAGCCTCACCGCAGCATGATCCAGTGCGCCCGCACTGACCTGTGGTCGGCTACACTAGAAAAACATCAGCTGCATAAACATAGTTTCTCGGAGGTCCGCGCGGATTTCTTGGATCGGTGATGGGCCCCCCTCCTTGCCGCGCGGAGCGCGCCAGGGGCGGCGCCAGAGGCGCCGCTAGAGGGGTCTAGCGCAGATCCAAGAAATCTGCGTGGACCGTCATTTTTTTTCTTGGTTGTTGTTTGAGCCTTTCTTCTTCTTCGAGACTCACTGTAGCATGGTCCAGTGCGCCCGCACTGTCCATTGGTTGGCTCCCAGTAGTGCCCTTTGGTGCGTGGCGTCAGGAGGCTGTGGGGAGGCCAAATCGAAGCGCGCAGGCCATTGCTGGAGGGACTCCTGTGAGCCCGCACCAATGGTCACTCTGGCGAAGGGTTACTCTTGCACGTCGCCGATTTGGGCAATACGCTCGGTGCGGCCAGACCGGGGAGCCCGAGAGCCCCTGAAAGAAGCTCGGAAGGATGATGAAAGAAAGCGGGGAGCCGACGAAGACGACGATGCTGATGACAATGACGACGACAATGAAGATGCTGATGATGATGTTGATGATGGCGATGATGATGGCGATGATGATGGCGACGATGAGGATGATGAGGATGATGAGGATGATGATGATGATGATGATGGCGACGACGATGATGATGCTGCTATTGATGAGGATGACGATGAGGATGGCGATGAGGACGATGACGATGACGATGAGGATGGCGATGAGGACGATGACGATGACGATGATGATGACGACGATGATGATGCTGATGACGATGATGCTGCTGCTGCTGATGATGATGATGATGCTGATGATAATGATGATGACGACGACGACGACGCGCGCCCGCGCAGGCCGCCCCTGCAGGGCGAACCCGCCCGCCTCGCCCTCCTTGCACTCGGGCCCTGAGCAGAACACCTTCGCCGCGTCGTGGCGGAGGACGGAGTGCGCCTCGGTGTGCGCGCGCGTGCGTGCGTGCGTGCGTGCGTGCGTGCGTGCGTGCGTGCCTGCGTGCGTGTGTGTGTGTGTGTGTGTGTGTGTGTGTGTGTGTGTGTGTGTGTGTGTGTGCGTGCGTGTGCGTGTGCGTGCGCATGTGTGCGTGTGCGTGTGCGTGTGCGCGTGCGCGTGCGCGTGTGCGTGTGCGTGTGCGCGTGCGCGTGCGTGTGCGCGTGCGCGTGTGCGTGCGCGTGTGCGCGCGCGCGCCGCGCGTGTGTGTGTGTGTGTGTGTGTGTGTGTGTGTGTGTGTGTGTGTGTGTGTGCGTGCGTGCGTGCGTGCGTGCGTGCGTGCGTGCGTGCGTGTGTGTTTGTTTGTTTGTGTGTGTGTGTGTGTTTGTGTACGTGTGTGCGTACGTGCGTGCGTGCGTGCGTGCAGGTGCGCAACTGTGGCCGCCCCGTGGTCCAGAGCGGGCGAAGACCGTTCCCCGGGAGGCATCTGCGTCTGTCACTGGGCACGGGGTGGGGACAGGCTTTGCTGGGCTTCCGCCCCCCGAGTTGGACTTGCCGCCTTCCGAGCCTAGTTCTCTCTGTAGGTCGCAGGGCATGCCAGCGCCCCCAGCTGCGCCCACCCTCCGACGAGCGGATGCGGCCGCAGCGTAAGACCCACCAGGCCCGCCCACGCCTCCCGAGCCGTACCTGCTCCCGGCTTCCCTGCGCCGCCGGCTGCCCTCGAAGTGTGGAGCGAGAGTGGATCAGCGAGTGTTCTCTTCATGCCGGACGGATGCATTTTGTAATCACGTGCGGACCGGCGCTGCCACAGAGCAATTACACTGTAAAGCCGTACGGAAGGTTCGTGTCGTGCCGACTTCGGCGCTGGTTTCTGACACCGCGGGGATCGTTCCACCTTGAACGATCGGCCGTCCCCGAAACGTCAGATCGTTCAACCCGACCGATGCTGGGCCGCTGGCGGCGTTCAGCGTTGAACTCCGGCGGCGGGGTCGCCGCCGGTCGACACGGACGCGAACCCACCGTACCTGTTCCTGGCCTCCCTGCCCCGCCGGCTGCCCCTCCCCCTGGGGGGCGCTGCTCCCGGGCTGGGGCCGCCGCCCCTCCGCCCCGAGAGGCCCTCTGCCCCCCTCGGGGCTCCGCTCCGCCCCGCCGCTGCCTCGTGCGGCTGCCGCACTCCCCGTGGCTGGGCTCTCTCTCTTTCCTAGGTGGGCCCTCAGGCGGGGGGGGGGAAGAAGAAGAGGAGGAGGAGGAGGAGGAGGAGGAGGAGGAGGAGGAGGAGGAGGATTTTCCTCCGCCTCCTTCCTGGGGGTCGGGCTCCCCGCCTGCCCTCCGCCCTCGCCCTCGCCCCACTGCTCGCCCTCTCCGCCTCGCTGGCTTGGCCTCCGCACCTCTCGGTCAGGCCTGGCTGCCGGCCTCCCCTCCCGCCGGCCCTGCTGCTGCGGGCGCTCTGCCCGCCCGGCGTTGGCGCGGCGCCCTGCTTGCCAGGCCCTGCTGCTGCGGGCCGCGCACTGCCCGCCCACCTTTGGCGCGGCGCCCCGCCTGCCTCCCCGCCCTCGCCTCCCCGCCCCGCTGCCCCCGCCCCGTCTCGGCGCCCCGCCCTGCGGCCGCCGCCCCGCCCCCCTCGCTGCCCCGCCGCCCGCCGGCGCCCGCCCTTTGCCTCGCTGCCCCAGCGGCGCACCTCGCACCTGGCCGCTGCCCAGTGAGGGGTCGGCCGTCTCGCCTCTCCCTGGGCTCTCTCTCGGCTACTGGGCGCGCGCGCGGTGCGCCGCGCGGCGCGTCTAACGGTGTGGCGGGTCGCCCGCCCGCGGCGACTGATGAGTGTGTGCGTGCGTGTGTGCGTGTGTGCGTGTGTGCGTGTGTGCGTGTGCGTGTGCGTGTGCGTGTGCGTGTGCGTGTGCGTGTGCGTGTGCGTGTGCGTGTGCGTGTGCGTGCGTGTGTGTGTGTGTGTGTGTGTGTGTGTGTGTGTGCGTGCGCCACACCTGTGTGTGCTGGGTGCGGCACGTGGGGCGGCGGCGACGACAGCTGCAGTCGGTGACGACGGCGACGCCGACCACATCATGACGACAGCCACGGTGCGTCTCGTCCAGGACCTTCTTGCTCGTAGAGCATGTGATGGAACACGCGTGAGGCTCCTCGCCTTCTATGTCTATGCCTAGACACTGGGGCACATGACAAGTTGGCCTCGTAAGCCCCACGCAAGCCAGACCGTGGAAGGTTGATGTTGGCCTTCCTATCCTCAGCCTCGCTGCTGCACTTCGCCAAGAGTACGGGCGATGATGACAACAGACATCGGACCAAAAGTCCAGGTGATCCTTGCTGCCAACTTTGCATGGACTGGTGCGCTCTGGCACGACAATCAAGGCACACTAGTTCCAATGAAGTCCTCGGCCTCGGCACATGGGTTGTACGATGATAGCTCCGTTTGAAGCGGTGCGCTGTCCAACATGCTCCTCGTTCGCTTGCTCGTTGTCGATGCCACTGGGAACTCAGACGTGCTCCTTTGTCTCCTCGGACTGCAAGGTGGCCACACTGTCGAAGTGCGCCCTACGCTCTTCCCAGGGACGAGGCGAGCCGTCGCGAGCGGCCCCGTGACCGGGGCATGGCGAAGAACCGAACTGACACGGCGCGGGCACTCAGAGCTGACTGCACAGGCTCCCTGACTGCATCGATGAGCCTGCCTGGCCCTCCGGCTCCCTCTCGCCTCCTTCTCCACTCGCCCCCTTCCCTGGCGCTCCCTTGCAGTCCTCCTTCCAAATCCGCTCGTGCCGCCACCCTCAGATCCAATGTGAAACCCCCTGCGGCCACACGCGTGGCAAATCTGCACACAGTCGGACCTAGGACAGAAGAACATCCTTCAAGAACATGAGACCCTCCACCGGCCAAAACACCCCGAACCATAAGACCACTCGAGGGTACCCTCCCCCAGGATGCACAACAACATCCAACAAATACGAAAGACATTATGGTACCCTCCCCGAACCGACCTCGATCTTATACCTCGGTCCGACTGTACCCTCCTTCCTTTCGGCCCTCGTCGCAGAGGAGGCAAAATGCACCGGGCACGCGAAGCCGAAAGTGCTGCACGACGCCGTGCTCACGCAGCAGTGGGCCGTGTCGAGGACGGAGCACTTCTCCTCCGAGCTCCCATCGCTCTGTCGTGCGGCGAGAGAGACGAATACAAGCCAAACGCCCAGCTGGGAAACGAAAACCGTAGACTTCAGCTCAGAAGCCGCACGCCTATGCCCGAATACGCGGTGGCATCGCGGTGCCCGATCTCGGTGAGCTGCGACCGAGGCGAAACTGGGCCAGGGCGTCAGTGCGCGCACTCGCTCTCTCCAGATCGCCCCGCTGCTCGATGCCACTTGAGAGCGCGCGCGCACTGTCGCATGGGGCTGTTCACCGCTGCCACAGCCTCCGACGATCGGTGCACGCCGACATCCCCATCCGCGGCCCCAGATCTCCCGACGACCCCTTGCCTGGGGGCAATTTTGCGTCCCGGATTCGTTCCTGACGGCCCCCGGGACCCACAGCGGCCCCAGGAGGCCGCAACGAGGGAACAGCGCCGCAGTTGAAAACGTCACACCTTGAGAAGTCTGGGTGTCGACCCCCCTGCCGAGCCCGTGGCCGCAGCCACAGGCCGCCCGCGAAGGCGCTCTCGGGGCCGATCGGTGGACGGCTGCCCTCCAGGGCAGCCCCGCAGGAGGAGGAGGAGGAGGAGGAGGAGGAGGAGGAGGAGGA